GGGGCTTCTGAGTATCAGACAGAGGAACAAAGCCCAGGTAGAGGGTGAACACCAAGGAAACCACCTGAGGAAACTGCCTGTGACAGCCTCTCAAGAGAATCCTGGAGGGAATGCTATGGAGACACTCCCAGCTCACCTGCATGGGGGACTTAGCATAGTTGTGATTGTCCAGAAAAGCTGGCAGCCGCTGGACAATGGGAGTGGGGTTGGGAGGAACCCCATTGAGGCTGCTCCCTGCAGGCTTCACCACCAGCTTGGGTTTGCTGGGAGGGCTGTGGGTCAGAGCTTGTGCGCATGAACCAGCCACCTCCTCCACACCGTCTGAGAGGAAAAGGAGCACAGGCAGGACCGTCAGCCAGATCCTCAGGAAAAGCTGTCCCCAGCCCACTGTCTTCCCAGTCCTGTGACACAGCACTCCTCCCTGTCCCTTCCCAGAGCCAGCTGGAAGGATGGAGATCAGTAGGCTCTAAGTCATGGGCCCACGATGACAGAAGAACGAGATGGAAAAAGAGAGGGAGGCAGAAAGAAAAAAAAACCTCTAAGATAACCAGAAAGGGAATATGGGTTACAGAGAAGGCTCAGGGGCCTGTGGTAACGGCAGCCCTTTATAGGTGCCTTTCTTTAGGAAACAATTCTCCCTCCATTTTCCAATGGGAGAGGGCTGCAGGCACTGGGCTTGAGGCCTCCCGCAGCAGCCTCTGAACCACTGCCCAAGTGCCACCATAGTTTAAAAAGACTTGCTCTGCTTGGGTCTCCTAGGTCAAGCTATGCCGTGCTGGATCTGAGGCCCATGCGAGGCCCCAAGACCCACAGTACCTGTGTGGGTGCCCTCAGAGGCCGCTGGGGCCCTGCTTGCCTCCAGAGCCAGGGGAGACTTGCCACTGGCTGGTTTGGACTCCTCAGGCAGTTGTGACTCTTGAGACTTGTGGGTCTGAATCAGCTCTGGTTGCGTTACCCTGATCAACTAAAAACAGAATCCAAGGCTCACAGCAGTGAAGGCGGCCCCAGCCTCTACCTTCAACAGCTAAGGGCCTTGGCTCTACCCATTCCCTCATAGGGGAACACAACAGCCAAACCCAAACTTCCTTTTAGAAACTACTTTCCCTCCCTACCCCAAGTCCCACCTTCCCCACAACGGGCACAAAGGAGAGAAGTGGTTAGTTGAAGCCAAGATCCACAAGAGAGAGCGATTTGGGAATCAGAGACATGCCCCAGTGAGGAGGAGGAGGGCATGGCTGGGCAGGACCCAGGCAGGAGGGTACCCACCTGCTGCAGGGCCTCCAGTATTATCTGACGGTTCACCTTCAGCACGTGCAGCCTGGCCTCGTACTTGATCCTGCGGTCAGGCACCACCGCCATCAGGTTGAAGCGGATGTCATGGTAGGGCTCCCTGCAGTCACAGCTGCAGCTGTGAGAGCAGCTTCTGCCCCAGCCCCACCATCAAGCTAAGGCAGATATCCTAGCAGGGCTCCCTGAAGTCACACCTACAGCCACAGGTACAGGCCCCACCCCAACAGGCAGGCAGCAGCTGGCCACACACACCAGGCACCTCAGAGACTGTGCCTTGCAACAAGCTGTGTGAGGGGCCTGGCAGGAAGTGAGCCAGCACACCTGGGCCACCCAGGCCTGCCCTTCCCCAGCCTATCCCAAAGCAGGCCACAGGTAGCCTGGGCGGGAAATAGAGCAATGAAGTGGGAACCCAAGATCTAAGCCCGATCTTGCCAGATTCACCATGTGGCCTTGTACAAGTCATCTGACCTCTCTCTGCCTTGGTTCCTTTTTCTGTGTCCCTTCCAATGGGGACACAGCTCCAGAGGGTAGGGTAGGCGTAGGGCCCTTACCCTGCAGTGGCGAGGCCGATACGCTCCATGATGACCCGCCGGGCCTTGTCTGTCCACTCCTCATCCTCCCCCCAGGGCCCTAGGGAAGACCAAGACAAGGAGTCATCAGGTGGGAAGCCCTGATTTTGGGCAGGTCAAGAGTGGAAGTGAGGAGTTGCACCAGCAAGTCAGGGGCTAGTCAAGCAATGCATTGCAGGGTACCATCTAGCTAGAGCCAGGTGTCCTCAAAACCCACCACCTACCACTGAGTCCCAAGCACCTGAGGACCCTGGACCTCAGTTCCTTAGGAGGTAAGCAGAGAAACGCAATGGGCCCCCCAGCTCGGAATGCCTACCATGGTCAATGGGGTAGACCTTGAGCCCGTCTAGCTCAAAAAGCCGGCCTGTGATAGGCACATAGCTGACAAAGTGGAATGCCTCCATGGTCCGCACTGCACTGAGGCCGTTCTGCTTCTCGGGGAGGTGGCGTGGCTCGGGCCTGGGGAAGGACACAGTCAGGGCCCAGAATGGGCCAGCCCTTCCTCGCTCCTACCCCCATCAGCTCCCACAGCTCCCACACACCTGGCATGGCTATTATGTGCCTTGGCCAACTCCGGGGCGTTGCCAATCGCATATCCTTTGCTCTAGAGAAAAGAAAATAAGACCACATCAGAACAACTCATGTGAGCCTCTGGGTGGGGGGAAAAGCTCAGGAAAGCAGGCCTGAAGGTGTTCCAGGGATCTGAAGAAGCACGGTGGACTCTCCTGAGGGGCAGAAGAGAGCTCTGAAGCCCCAAACAGATGGGCTTTCATGGCCTTGCAGTAATCAGTGGGCATTAGGGAGCAACATGGCCTGACGAAGGGCTGACAAACAAAGTCTTAAAATGGTGTCACTTAAGAAAGTTCCTTCCTCCCTATGTTTGTCTCCTTCCCTGACAAATGGGCCTAAAACTAATTGTCTTACACAATTAAAGGATCAGAGGTAATTTAAATAATCACTTGAAAAGGAAAAAGCCTCATAGTGCCAAATGTCATATGGTGGCATCACCAGTGACCCTGGAGGTCAGATCTGCCCAGCCAGCTGTGAGCCAGGATTAAGGCAGCGTGGCCTACCTCAGGGCTGAAGCCTTTGGTGAAGTCCTTCATGCGACTCAGGGTGGGCCCCAGGTCCACATTGCTGCAGTTCAGAAGCACGCTCAGCAGAGCATGTGTGGCGCAAGAGTTGGGGATCAGCTGTGAAATCAAGAACAGTCACCCATACACAGCATCCCTCAATCAAATCCCATATACATCAGGAATAGGGACCCAAAGAGAGTCGCATCTGGACAACAATCCTCATCTTTGCCCAACATTTGTTCATTCAATTGAATACCCACCAGATGTCTGCGGACATGGAGCGTGGACTCAGGCCCCACAACTGCTCTAAGGATACTCCCTTTTTTAATAAAGAGCTCAGTTCCTTCTGCAACCACCACCCTTGGTATCTGCCTATCTCTTCCTCCTGCCTTCCCCCACTTCCACTTTGCAAGCAAAGAAAATGACAGCATCCCACCCTCCAGACAAAACACAGAGCCCAGCAGACCTGGTGGGCAAAGAACATATTATTCACAATGTCGTCATCAATCACGGACGTATCATCCACCAAGGTAGAGACCTTGCGACGGGACCGGCGCTCTTCGATCCATTTGAACAGGAAAATGAATCCATACACAGGGCTGGGGAAAGTAAGGGGCAGAGCTCGACCAGGCAATTAGCATCCCCTTTGTTCCTTCCCTGTTCCCCTGCACTGTTACCACTCAGGCACCCTTCCCATGATCCCACCTCTCCCCTGGTTTCTTCCTAACACTGCCCAAAGTGGCCCTGAGCCCTCCCGTCCCAGAAGCCTGCCTCAGGCACTCAAGCATCAGCTTCTGGCTGTAGTGCTCCAGGTGTCCACCCAGTGTCCTTATGAAGTCTAAGGTTCTGGTATAAGAGAAGAAAAGCTGGAACCAACAGCCCAGGACAGGGTAGGAACAGAAAGTGAGAAGAGAACAAAAATTCTGATGGGGAATTTCAACACTAATTCTCACTTGTGACCCCAAGGTCTGGGCCCCAATGCAGCCAAGGAAGGAAATGAACACCCGTATCAGCCCTTTCCTTCCTGAGAAATAAAAGCAGAATTCTCAGCTCAGTCACTGTAGCAGTTCCTCCACACCTCTATTCTGCAGGACTATCAAAATAAGACCCTGAGGTTGGTCACCCAGGAGAGGCCTTGTAGATGCCACACACCAACCGATACAAAACCCTTATGTGGAAATTAAAGGCACTGGCACACGGTCACATTAAAGCTGTCATTAATAAATTACAGCTGCACAAAAGGCACTGTGTGACCTGGGTCTAGGGAAGGGGCTGGCTTCCTGCTCCAAGACCAGAAAAGGCAGCAGAACTGTTCTCCAAAGGATGGCTGGGATTCGTATTGGGGAAAAGGTGCTACTACATAAAGGGAAGTGCTGAGAGAAGACCGGGAGAAAACAAAAATATCAGCTTGATCAGGAGGGATGCTACCTTAAATGAGATTTACACAACTTGGGGTTCCTGATACTACCCCCCTTTGAGGGGGACTTTTCCCCGAGCCCTTCCCTAGCCCTCCGGGCAGGAAAGGCGGTCCTGGTGCCAAGCCACTCACCCCTGGCACTTGCTCTGAAGGTCATAGATCTCCTCCACTTGCACCCCTTTGACACCTGCGATCAGGAAAGGAAAGAAGTTGGGAAGGGCAGTCCCCGGCCGTGCAGCGAGGGCGCAGGACTGGGCCCCCAGGCCCGGCGGGTAGAAGAGGCTCTTACCGAAATCTTCCACCAGGAGGGTGAAGAGGCCTGGTGGGGCGACAAGAGCGGGTGGTGGTCAGGCAGACGCGTCCCGGGCCCGCCCTGCCTCCCCAACCCCCGCCGAGCCGGCGTCCTCCTCACCAGGGTCGCTCTCCAGCTCCAGCCAGCCCTTATTCATCTTCCCGCGGGGCGGCCCCTCAGCGCCATGTCCAGGCCCTCCCGACCCACCGCCGCCCCCGCCGGGAGCCCCCGACGCCCACCGGGCCCCTAGCCCCACACACAGACAACGGGGCCCGTCGCGTCACCCGCCCGCGCCGGTGATACACGTCACCAGAGAGCGACAGTCTCCGCCCCGCCTCCGAGCTGGTCTTCCGGGTGTTTGCGCGGGAGGGAGGGGCAAAATGAAGGGGGCGTGGCTAGGGGATAGGGCGGGAGCTGAGTTAAGTGTTAGTGGCGCGAAGGGAAGGGGTGGGGCAAAAGGAACGGTGGGCACGCGGCTTTTAGCGCGCCGCGGTCCCGTTCTGCAAACTGCGTCGCGGTGGTCCCCGCGGCCACAGTCTCCCTGCGTCGTGCCCTGGCCCCCGTTTGCGCGCTCGCCCCCTTCGCCGGCGCAGTGACCGCGCGGGGCGGCCTCCCGTGAGGTAGCTACAACGAATAAAGCTCCGGACCAGCGGTGCCCCCGGCGACAACTGGGCTGGCGACCCCGTGCTCTACCGTGAGGAGCAAGCTGCGGAGGCGACCTCCAGCCCGGCCCCGCACCAACCTTCTAGCAGGCACGGCATGATCCTGGTCTGACATCTGCGGGATGCTCCTTGAGCCCCTTCTCCGGTTGTTACTTCGCGGGGACGGGTGTGGCCACACCGACACTTATTTTCCAAAGAAATCAGTGCTTATTCTTGCGGCGGCGGGGCCGAACACGCTTATTTATTTTTAATTTTCTCAACAAGCTTTTACCCAGCACTTACCTATCCAGCGAAACAACTTGCTAACCGTTTCAAGGTTGAGAAATCGCTCCGTTAGGAAATCTCGGACTGAGCCGCTTGTGGAAGCCCGCCTTTGCATCGTCCCTCCTCAAATGTTTTGAAGGTTGTTGCGTCTTCCCGTAACTGCCGGTGCGCCCAGAACCCCATTCAAGGAACGTCTTGGTCCAGCAATGCAAAGAACTGACGTTTGAAGGTTTTATTTCTGTTCCTAGACGATCGCGAGTTCCCGAACAACTCGGAACCGCTCCGTAGTCAGCTCAAGTGGAACCCCTATTGCACGCCCTTCTCTCTCTTCCAGCCTATCCAAGTGCTTTTGTGGAGTAAGAAGCCGTCCGATGTCATTGCTTCTGCAGGTGCAGCTCAAGGTTTAGAAGAGATGGAGCAAATACAAAGAAAGGAAGGGCGGTATAGCCTTCCTTAGTAGTTGCCTTAGTGGTTGTATTCATACAGACCAGTTCAAGTCCCTGAAGAGGCTCCCCCTTTCCAGCTATACAGTGAGGACATGGGTGCTGGAGTGTGTGTCCCCAGAATAACCTGATTCATTCATTTCTTCTAACAAATGCTGTCCTCTCCCCTAACTAAACACAGTCCTCCCTTGATAGGAGTAGATTTTACGTCTTTTGTCCACCTTGTCGTTCAGGGATTCCTCCCCCCATCCCCCCCAACCAATGAAAACTGTACATTGTATTGTAGTCTGCTGACACTGGAGAGGGGAGGAGTGGCAGGGTGTCTTCATATTTGGAGAGCTGGACAAAAGTTGAAAGCAGGCCAAACCTCAATGGCCACCTGATACAAGTAAAAAGAAGTGACAGGAGCCATGGGGTGATTTGGCAGTGTTACCCTTTGTCTCTCACTAGAGGGAGTTCTTGTTTTAGGCAACTGAAATCCCACAAATTCCTTTTCCTAGCAAAGAACTCGCTAGAGCTCGCTATCTAACTTTTATGGGTAGAATGAAGGTATGCATACTTGGAGGCAAAAGAAGTCTTTTTTCCTGAGTGCCACCTCTTGCATTTAGTGGGCACAAACAAAACAACCATTTAGCCAGTTCACGCAGTGGTTCCAAGTTCGTATACTGTTGCGTGATGGCAGTACCTCTGACTTGGGCAAATACCTCTCTGTGACATCTCTGTGCCTCAGTCTTCTCATCTTGAAAATGGGGATAATAATGGCACCTACTGCATGGGGTGGGTTGTGAGTTAACACATGTAAAATATCTAGAACAGTTCTTGACACGATTTTATAATTATTGGTTGTTACTAGCATTGATCCTGGGTGGGTCCCTTATATTCCATCATATGGGTTGGGAGGTAAACTGCACTGTTGCTTTGACCCTGTGAAACTTGCTAGCCAACTGTAGGATTAAATTGCTGACCAAACCCTACTTATTTTTATAGCTGGTAGAGCCTGTATTGTCCACATAATAGTAAAGAAGAAATCAAGATAGAGAAAGGAAGCAGCGAATGAAGAATATAAAAGAAAAGAAGGAATGTCAAAGATTAAGGTAGAGTAGGTGACACAAGGGAGTTTGGGAGAAATTATCCAATGACCTATGGTATATGCTGCACTTTTTTCCCCTTTGCATTGTCTCGCAAGCTAGGGTTGGCTCGTGTCAAAGCACACACCAGTAATCCCCTGGAAGCTGCCCAGTAACCTACCCTCCCAGGTCTGTCCCTAGTGCTGGCTCTGGAACCCTACTGACTAGGTTCATATCCTTGCTGTAACACTTGCTAACTAGGTGACCTGGGACAGGTTACTTCATTTCTTTATGCCTCAGGTTCCTCATCTGGAAAATATGCATCATAATTGCACCCACTTTTTAGAGCATTCTGTAGAATCATTGAGTTAATACCTGTAAAGAGCAAAGAATAATGCCTAGTAATGGAAAAGTCTTTTTGTGAACGTGGTACTACCTGTAATTCAGAGTAGGTTGCAGAAGAAACAGTAAAAGAGTTAAAGGAAGTTTGCTTCTGCATTCACTCAGTCAACACAGTCAGTACAGGCACCTGGAACAGAAAGTTGATTATGATCTCACATAATTCAAACAATTCAGTGGGTATGTTTTATGCTTTCAAAAAATATGAAATAGGGGTCGCTGGTTAGCTCAGGTGGTTAGAGCACAGTGCTCATAACACCAAGGTTGCTGGTTTGATCCCCACATGGGCCACTGAACTGCGCCCTCCACAACTAGAATGAAACAACTACTTGACTTGGAGCTGCTGGGTCCTGGAAAAACACACTGTTCCCCAATAAAATTAAAAATATAAAATAAAGGGCCGGCCGAGTGGCGCGATGGTTAAGAACTCGCTTGGGATGCCAGAGGGCCCCGGTTCGGATCCCACATATGAGGGCCAGTGACACTGCCCTCTACAGCTAAGATGCTGAACAACAGCTCAACCTGGAGCTGGGCTGCCGTGAGTCGCTGGCGACGGCGTAGGCTGCAGCCCCTGTGGCAGTGGGTTGCCATGGGCTACCGTATGTAGCCAGCATGAGCGGCCAGCAGCCGCAGTGAGCGGCCGTCCAGAAGCTGGCGACTGATCTGCCTCGCCAGGGAAGAGCGCAATGATGGTGCCAACTTGGGCCAGTGAAGCAGTGTCCTCCACAACTAGACTGAAGAACAAAACGACAGCAACTTGTCTGTTCCCCTTCCCCTAATTCCCCAGTACTGTTCCCATCCCCCCAATTACCCAATAAAAATCTTTTTTAAAAAAAATGGTTTAAAAAAATATATATATATATAAAATAAAAAAAGAAACTGAAAAGCCTTTAGGTATTTTGGTCCTTCATCAGACCCATGGATGGCATTTTGAGAGAAATGTTACAAGGGATGTTGACAGGATCCTCAAAGACCACTTTGTACTTTTTCCATTTCTTGTATAGAAAATCTGCCAACACAAGGAAGGTAACCCAGAGGAAGCCATCTTCAGGGCCTGGTAAGAAAGAGTAAATGTTCTGTTCTGCCACTGACTCCCAACCTCAGCAAAGACCACCTGTGTAGGGCAGCAAACTTGCTCCTCTCACTGTCAATCCTATATCCTTCCCAGATTCTCTAAGATGCTGAAGAACTCAGGCTCCATAATCTCTAAATGTCATGTCCAAAGTTCAAGAAACAAGGCCACTTAAGACAATAAAATATGAAGTGAGCAGCTGCAGCCAACTCCTGCAATGTGGCCAAAATTATATAAAGACCTAACTGATACCAAAGAACACTTCATCCCAACCTCCCTCCTTGTCAAAATGACCCTCTTCCCAATATTGTACTCCTCCTTGTACTTAGATGGTTACACTCCCAAAGTGAATTCTTAACATTCTCTCTTCCAGTATGCCGGCTATGCCTTCGAGAACCTGGGGACCCTGAAAAATTAGGGGAATTTCTTCAGAAAGACAATCTCAGCGTGCACTATTTCTGTCTTGTGAGTATAAGGACCCTTTGCTTTGAATGTCTCATGGGTTTTGCTGTACAGTCTGTTCTGTTTTTGCATCCAGCCTCAGATCCATAGCCCTGTTTATTTATTTGTTTTCCTTAATAGCTTTTTTTCTTTTTAAAATCCAATTTTTAAACAGTAATATACATACCTGGTATGAAATCCTAACAGTATAAAGTATTTACCATAAGAAGTTTCTTCCCAAAACAGTATTCTCCATCCTTCTCCCTCTCCACAGAAGCAAATGCTATCAACAGTCCTTCCAGTTATTTTTCCCCCAATATTTTTTTTATTAGGTATAATTTACATATTATAGAATGCACCTATGTTAAGTGTACAATTTGATGAGTTTTGATAAACATATATCATGGGGATATAATGTATGTATCCCCATGTAAATACTGTCCAAATCAACATAAATATTTCCATAACCCCAGGAAGTTCCCTCTTCCAGTCAATCCCCTCAGAGATAATCACTGTTCTGATCTATAGATGGCTTTTGCTTATTCTTATGCTTCATATAAATGGAATCGTACAGTTTGTACTCTTTTGTGTCTGGTTTCTTTCACTCAATGCAGTGTTTTAGCAATAGATCTGTGTTGTTGCATGCATCGGTAGCTTGCGCCTTTTTATTGCCTAGTAGTAGTCTGTTGTATAGTATAATTTGCTTGTTTATCCACCTGTTTATGGACATTTGAATTGTTTCCATTTGGGGGTTATTATTAATAAAGCTACTGTGAATATTCATGCACAAGTCTTCTCGTGAACACGTTTTTTCATTTCTCTTCGTCAAATGCCTAGGAGTGGAATTACTGGTCATATGCTAATTACATGTTTAACTTTATGTGAAGTTGCCCAATCACTTTCCAAAGTAGTTGTACAAGTTTACACTCCTACTAGCAGTTTATGAAGTTCCAATTGCACAGTATTCTTGTCAGAACTTGATATTATCAGTCTTTTTTAATTTTAGCCATTCTACTAGGTGTGTATTGGTATCTCATTGTGACTTTAATTTGCATTTCTCTGATGACTTAAGATGTTGAGCTTCTTTTCATGTGCTTATTGGCCATTCACACGTTTGTTTGTTTGTTTTTATGAAGTGTCTATACAAATATTTTGTTCACTTTAAAAGTTGGGTTGTTTTGTCTGATTGAGTTGTAAGAGTTCTTTATATATTCTGAATATAAATCTTTTTTTTTCAGATACATGTATTGTGACTATTTTCTCTCAGTCCGTGGCTTGCCTTTTCATTTTGTTAATGATGTCTTTTGAAGAACAAAAATTTTGAATTTTGATGAAGCCTGGTTTATCAATTTTTTCTTTTATCATTAGTGCTTTTTTGTGTGTCCCAAGAAATCTTTGCCTACCCATTGAATTATATCGGTGCCTTTTTCAAAATCAGTTGACTATATATCTCTGCATCTGGATGATCTATTTTATGTCATTTATCTGTGCATTAATCCTTACACCAATATGACACTGTCTTGATTATTGTGGCTTTATAGTGTCTTGAAATTAAGTATTGTAAGTTTTGCAGTATTTTCCAAGATTGTTTTGGCTACCAGATCCTTTTCCATATAAATTTTATAGTTAGCTTTAAACTTATCTTTTTAAAAAAAGGCCTCTTGGCTTATGATGGGGACTGAATTGAATTTATAGATCAATTTGGTAAGAATGGAAAAACAATATTGAATCTTCCAATCCATGGACATGATGTATTTCACCATTCATTTGGGTGTTTTAAAATATATCTTAGCAATTTTTTTTTTAAGATTTTTATTAGGGGATTGGGAGGATAGGAACAGTGCTGGGGAATTGGGGGAAGGGAACAGACAAGTTGCTGTCCTTTTGTTCTTCAGTCTAGTTGTGGAGGACATTGCTTCACTGGCCCAAGCTGGCACCATCATTGCACTCTTCCCGGGCAAGGCAGATCAGTTGCCAGCTTCTGGACAGCCGCTCACACTGGCTGCTGGCTACACACGGTAGCCTAGGGCAACCCACTGCAGCAGGGGCTGCAGCCTACACCAACGCCGGCCACTCACAGCTGCCCAGCTCCAGGATGAGCTGTTGTTCAGCATCTTAGCTGTAGAGGGCAGTGTCACTGGTCCTCTTGTGGGATCCAAACTGGGGCCCTCTGGCGTCCCAAGCCAGCTCTTAACCAACGCGCCACTTGGCCGGCCCAATGGTATTTTAAAATTTCATTTTCAAGTTTGTTGCTGGTATATAGAAATGCAATTTATTTTTGTACGTTGATTTTATACCCTACAATCTTGTTAAATTCACTTATTAGTTCAGTTCTTTTGTTGATTTTTTTTTTGTGAATGCTTTTGGATTTCCTGTGTACACAATCATGTCATATGTGAATAAAGACAGTTCTGCTTCTTCCTTTTTGATCTTTGTCTTTTAATTCTTCTTCTTGCCTTATTGTACTAGCTAGAACTTTCAATCCAGTGTTGAATAGAAGTTATATGAGTGAATATTCTTGTCTTGTTCCCAATATCAGAGGACAGCATCCAATTTTTCACCATTAAAATATAATGCTAACTATAGGTTTTTCATAGATGCTTTTCATTAGATTGAAGAGGTTCCCTTTTATTCCTAGTTTGCTGAGAGTATCATGAATGTGTGTTGAATTTTTTCAAATGCTTTTTCTGCATCTATTGAGATGATCATGATTTTTTTCTCTTAATTTTGTTGATGTGATTTGTTACATCAATTGAATTCTTTAATGTTAAATAATCTTACATTTCTGGTATAAACTCTGCTTGGACATAATGCATTATCTCTTTTATATGGTACTGGATTCAATTTGTTAATATTTTATTTTATTTTTTCACATTTACACTCATGAGAAAGATTGGTCTGTGATTTTCCTCTCTTGTAAGCCCTGTCTGGTTTTGGTGTCAGGTCCTAGTTAATTTCAATGCATTTATAAGCATATACATTTTCAACATAAAAATAAACATACTATACACCTTATTTTGTATTTGTAGTTTGTTCTTTTTTTCACCTCATATACTTATGGAGATCATTCCACATAGAACATATTGTTTTTTCTTTTTAATAGCTAATTGGTAATCTGTGGTATGGGATGCCAAAAAGTATTAAAATAAACCCCTATTAAAGACTATTTAGATTTTTTTCTAAGCTTTCACTATTGACTTTTCTGTTTGTAGAAATAATACATGCTGACTGTAGAAAACAATAATAGTTAAAAGTATAAATAAAATAGAAATCACTCATATAGTCCTAAAGCCCTGAGACAGTGTTAAAATAGATATGTTTTAAAGCTTATTGGGAACATACAGCTATAATCCAAGTGTCCTCAAGTTATCTAACCTTGTAGGGTCACATTTTCTATCATGTTAAAATAAAATAACCTGGGCCCCCATTCACATTACATGTAATTACTGAAGAAAGTCCAGCACCCTCCCCAATATTTTTGGAAGATTCTTGGGATGGAGCTGGGATGCTGACATTCTTCCAATGGATGTGCTCGTACACTGTTTATGAGTACGTAACAGTTTACTTTCTTTTCCTTGATTTCTCATTCCAGACTTGCTTTGGGGGCTTTTCAAAAACAAAAAGCCCTTTAAAGTGTGTTTTTAAATAAAAGGTCAATTCCTCCCCTTCCACTATAAGGCAGGATGACTATAGTCAGAACATTTCCCTTCCTATAGAGAACACACTCTGGGAAGAGTATTTACTCTGTACCAATGGAGCAGAGCAGCCGGAGGCGTAGGAGTGTGGGTCTGTGGGCCTGGATGTGAATTCCAGCTCCGCTGCCTCCTTGCCGTGTGACCCCAGCTATGTCACTTACCGTGCTGCACCTCAGTGGCCCCCTCTGTAAGATGAGGATCACAGCAGCATCTGTATCACAGGGTTGTGGTGAGCATAAGATGAGTCAATACACAGGGAGTATTTCCCCAAAGTACACAGTACACAGAAGCAGTCCTCAGTTAGTGAGAGGCAGCATAGCACAAAGGTGGGTAAGAGCCCAGGTTTCAGAGTTCTGTGGGCTTGAGCAAGTCACATAATCTCGCCTATAAAATGGAGATGATGATAGCACCTACCTCTTAAGGTTGTTACAAGGATTAAACGTGTTCATATTTGGAGAGCACTTAGAGCACCCAGCACATAGTGCTGTGGAAGCCTTTGTATTAAGTAAATTATCCTGTAAATGCATATATATTCCACCAAGCTCTTTTTCTACTCTGTCCTCCTCACCCCACTGCACTTTTCACTGATCATCAACCTGGTTCTGCTGTCCCCCCCATCCCCAGATCCTATCTAGCAAGTTGCCTCAGAGGGGCCAGTCCAACAGAGGTTTCCATGGCTTCCTGCCTGAAGACATCAAAAAGGAAGCAGCCCGGGCTTCTAGGAAGGTTAGATCCCCTGGAATGGGGGCTTTGGGCGAGGCCTCTTTTTCACACCTCTCTGATAGTCCCTGCCTCTGTTCTTTACCTTAGTTGTTATGTTAGAAGTCAAGGGATTGCTGGATTTCCCAACTGGTCCTTCTCTTAAGTTCCATGCTTCTCTGGGGTGTAGTATGCTAAGCGTGGAGAGGGAGCAACCTCCTGGGAAAACAAAAAATTCAGTGCTGCTTGGAGCTCAAGAGTTGTCAGATCCACTGAGCAAAGGGAATAGCTGTTGCTTCACAGAATTTCCATTCCATAGAATGATGTGCCCCTGAATGTCTGTCTGTCTTTCCCGGGGCCCTGAGCACTGGCTGGGATCTCATTTGCAGATCTGCTTTGTGTGCAAGAAAAAGGGAGCTGCCATCAAATGCCAAAAGGATCACTGCGTCAAAAACTTCCATCTTCCCTGTGGCCAAGAAAGGGGTTGCCTTTCACAATTTTTTGGAGAGTACAAGTGAGTGATGAAGGGGAAAAATCAGGCTGCCCTTTTGCAACTTGCTATTAATTAGCCACTAATGAAATCAGAGTCCAGTTCTCACAGGCCTGTTTTGACTCACCAGGGAATCTGTGTCTCCATTTAATAATGAGAAACAGTGTCTTGACTTGGCAGTTTCACAGGGCTTACATCTTGCTTCCCATCCCCTTCTTAAATTACAAACAGCTGCCATTCTTAGACAGCTGCTTAGAGCCAAGTGGGGCTTTCAGGAACTAGAGGCTGTAGAGATAGTCACCGAGCTTTGCTCAGTGGAAGAGCAGCTGTGAGAAGGCATGTGGCTGTTGTTCATCCCACTCCTCCGCCTCCTCCCCAGGAGCATGGAGGTTCACTGGGCACCAGCCAGGGCAGTTGATTGCCCTCCCTAGGCCAGGCAGCTGGAAAACTGCATCAACAACAAATCAGAACCAAGTCTATTTACTTTGCCGCAGATCATTTTGTGAAGAACATCGCCCAACACAGGACATCCAATGGGGGAATGTGGGGGAGGAAGGCTGCATCTTGTGTTGTGAAGAGTTATCCCAAGCAAGTGTGGAAAACATCCAGAGCCCATGCTGTAGTCAAACTGTCTACCACCGCGCATGCATACAGGTGGGGCTTTCTCTGCTCTGGGGACCTTCCACAATTGCCCTAGTTCAGAGCACACTGGGAATGCTCAGGCAATCTCTGCTGAAGGCCTGTATGCAGGGCTGGTTCCAGGCAGTCAGAGGAAGGTCAGCCCAGCATCTGGTTACCCCTGACCTGTAACGCCTCATTCATGATAAGATTTAGACTGAGCAAAATCCTCAGGATGCCTAGAGTAAATGAGCTCATCCCAGAATGAGTCAAGTAGCCTCAAAATCAGCCTTGCTTCCTGGGTAAAAGGAAAGAGAAATGTGTGTCCAGGTATCTGAGCTCGGCTGGGTCAGCACTGCCAAGCCCCATAGCCGGAGGCGACAGCTAAGGCGCTTCTGGGGGCCCTCTTGAGCTTTCGGCCCCTGGTCTGGCACCTGAATTTGCAGCCCTCACCCTAACCCACCCAAACTCCTTTTCCTGCAACCCTCGGTCAAGCTTTCCTAGCAACGTCTTGTTTGTGAGATGGGGGGGGGTCAAAGGTAATGTTTCTACAAACACAGAGCTCTTCCATGTTTCTCTTACAGAAATATGCCCACACATCAGCAAAGCATTTCTTCAAATGTCCACATTGTAACAACCGAGAAGAGTTTCATCAAGAAATGCTAAGAATGGGAATTCATATTCCAGACAGGTAGTGAAAACGCTAAAGCAGGAAATGAGCCAGGGAATGGGGTGCCTAGATTTCCAGAGAAGAGGGGAATGTGAAGACAGTTTAGAGAATGAAGAAGGAGCCAAGGCATTGACATATGGTGAAGAGGGAATGGGTGGAAGGAGAGCTTTTCAATTATCAAAAGAAAAGGGCGGGGGGAATGTAAGGGTTGGGGGGATAGGCATGTTTCTGAAAAGGATACTTTGGGGATCAGAATTCCTAGGTGTGTGTGTGTGTTGAGGGGGGGTGGGCAGGGTGGGATTCTTGAATTCCAGTGTGGAACTAAGGAAGCCCCGTGTTCCACTCATCCTGCTTCAACCCTCTCCCGCTGCCGGGCCAACCTCCCAGCTTTGCTGAAATTATTCAGGCAGCCTGTTGAACTCTTTTGCTGTGCTAGTTTGCGTTCTTCCTAGTTCCTCCCAGGTGGACAAAGGTTTCACCCACAGATTATGTGTCCCTTACTCACTGTTTGTTCTCTACTGCAGAGATGCTGCCTGGGAACTCGAGCCAGGGGCTTTTTCAGAGTTGTATCAGCGTTATCAGCACTGTGATGTGCCCGTCTGTCTGCATGAACAAGGCAGAGACAGCTTTGAGGACGAAGGGTAGGGAAAGGCTCCTGGCTAGAAAGATCTCTCATCAGTACCATCTTAGGGTTAGACCTTGGCATAGTTTTTAGGAGCAAAGAAGGCACTTTTGTCTGCAGACCTCAGGGTGAACACCATTGCTAAGTCCCACTCTTGAGCAGCCCAAGTCTCACTCACACACACGTGAGCAGGTCTCTGCAGGGTCTGTTTCTCCTTGTGTCCAGCGGAGAGTGGCCAGTTCCTTTCCAAATCTGCCTTCCGAGTATCTGTGCCTGACTGTGGGATCCTGGGATCAGCACTCAGCCACACATCCATCATGGGTTAAAAAGTACAGTAAAAAGTACCTGGGAAAGCCCTCAGCAAAGGTCTAGCCTGTAGCAAACATCCCGAGAGTGCTAGTTAGTGTTAGATTTGTGCCCACAACCATTCCTTGTTTTCTTGTAGGAGGTGGAGCCTCATTCTGTGTGCTACATGCGGTTCCCATGGAACCCATAGGGACTGCTCCTTTCTTAGATCCAACAGTAAGAAATGGGAGTGTGAGGAGTGTGCACCTTCGGCTGAAGCCACAGGTGGGACTGAGGGGTGGTCTGGTGTAAGAACCGGGGTAGGGGTGGGGGGACTTGTGGTACCTGGGAAAGGAGGAGGGCATGCCACCAGGATGGGGACTTAGTGGTGCCTTTAATTGAGGAAGGAAAGGGGCTAGGGAGGGGTTAAGGACCTGTGCCTGGGAGAGACAGAAAGTTGAGTTTTCTTCTCCCACCTTTTATTCACCACAGACTACATACCTGAACACTCAGGCGACATCCCCTGCTGCAGCAGTACCTACTACTCTGGGGGGCATTTCTGACACCAGCCTGGAAGAGCATCCGGGACCTTCTTGGACTGATTTGCTAGGACCTTCCTTATTAGACAAACCAGAGTCCTCTGGTGGCAGGAGGGGCCACTCCTGGCAGTCCTAAGGTGTCAAAAATCACTAAAAGCTACAGAAAGTTTAAATAACAGCTTCTGAGTAGTTGCTGCCAAGCACGTTTAGGTACAAGGGTGTGTTCCTCCATTAGGCTTGGGGGAAGGAGCAGCTTGGACCTGTGAGACAAGGAAAGGGGTCCAGCAGTGAGGCTGTGAACCAAGCAAAGAGAAGTCCCAGGGGAGCGTGAGGACAGAGCAGTCCAGATGCCAAGCGCGGAATGTATGTATGGCTACAATAGCGCCTCTGCTCTTCCTGCCTGATTCCCAGAGGGCCCTTTCTTTTCTTCTTCTGCTGAGAGCCTTCCACCTTAACCTGGTTCTCATATGCCTCTTCTTTCTTCACCCGCGTGTGTTATGCAAATAAAGGCTTTCTCTCTGTTGGTGTCTCCTTATAAATTCACTCTGGATTTTATCTAGTGAACTAAGGAATCTGGAGGGTAGAGTGAGGGAATAGGAACTTAAATGTAGAACTTCCAACTTAGAACGTAGACACGTTGCCTTGGAGGGAAGCAGTTCGCAGGGAAATCAACTTTACGGGGGGGACAGAGATTTCATCATTGTGCAAATAAACACACAGGTTCTCATTAGGGAGGTGAGCAAGAAAGGAGTCCACACTGGCCTGCGAATAGGCCACTCTTGCAAAGCTTGGGGCCCTGAACCGCCGTGCTCACAGGCAGGAGGGACTCTGCTCAGTCCAGGCAGTGTGGCTTTCAGCACACCTCCACAGCATGCGGGAAGACACGGCTCCACGCAGGGGCCTGGCGGCGGGCATTTCCATGGGGTAAGGGAGCTGGGTCAGGACAGTTACATTAAGTAAGGCAGGTAGGATGACAATCTGGCTGAGGGTCCTGGGGGAAATTGAATAGAATCTCTCATATTTGTTTGTTAGTGATTATGGGGGATTTGGATTAGCAGGGGAAACTCAGGACCATTGCCAGATACTGAGTTCTCAGGGTCGCACTGAGTCATTGTCACCAACAGCAGAGGATGGGTTCTTGGTTCAAATGTTGCTGGCCCCTGGAAACTTAATCAGGTTGTACATGATTTGACCAGATTTGACCAGATTCACTTGGAATCACATGGCGGGGGAGGGGGTGGTAATTTGTGTCTTTGTTATCAAAGTATACAGGCAAAGTAATATAGACTTTCAAAAGTCTTAAGTCAAAAAGTACTAAAATGGGGCCGGCTGAGTGGCTCAGTTGGTTAAGAGCACAAGCTCTGAGCATCAGGGTCCGTGAGCTGTGCCCAAGCTGAGCTGCCACTGAGCTGGTGAGAGCACGTGCTCTTAACAACAAGGTTGCCGGTCTGACTCCCACATGGGATGGTGGACTACACGCCCCTCCACCCCGCAACCCCCCCGCAACTAGATTCAAAGCAGCAGCTGGACTTAGAGCTGAGCTTGTGCCCTCCACAACTAAGATTGAGGGACAACAACTTGACTTGGAGCTGATGGGTCCTGGAAAAACACAATGTTCCCCTTCCCCAATTCCCCAACACTGTTCCCCTCCCCAATTCCCCAATAAAAATCTTAAAAAAAAAAAAAGTACTAAAAGGATTATAACAAAAAATATAACCACCCCTCCCTACCCCAGTCCTAGTCCCTGAAAGCAATGACTTTTCACTTTTTTAGCCATTTCTTGATTTATTAATCTTAGACATTATTGACTTCCTATTATGTTACATAAAGATCTAGCACCTTTAAAACATTCCCATTTTCATTATCTTTTATAGTTGCATCACAATTTTTGTTAAATTAACCTTCAGTGTTTACATTACTATGACTATGTAAATGCTGTTTACTACTAAGCCGGGCAGTATACTATGATTATTTTTCCTCTCCCATACACTTTTTTTTTTTTTTACTGAATTAAATACCTTCCTCTTTTTCATCTGCTACATGCCTATGGATAATGTTCCATGTGATCAATTCCCTCAAAATAAAATTTTCCTCAGAGGCCAAGCATCAGATCACTATCAGTGGCACTTCTTTGCTGGAAGATCTGCCTCCAAAGGCCTGCTCCTTCTGAGGCTAGCTGCTCCCTAGACCTCCCACACAGCTATCATCCTAGGCCTCCCTATGCTTCACCTTTTTTTCTTCATTTTCTCGCCCATGGGTTTGATGACTCAGTGCTATGCCTGATAACTTTGGCATCCAAGGACGCTTTCTTTGTTAGAGCACTGCAAGTAACGAGAGTTTTTAAATTGTGGATTTTCATTTCAAAAACACAATTATTTTGTCTATCCTAAAGACAATTCTTGCAGTGATCATTCACAACTGAAAGACACTTTCAAGATTAAGCCTTTAGTTTCTTACTCTAGAGTTTCTGTAACTTGGGTCTCTAGGCATATTCTCAGACATCTGGGGTAGTATCTCTTCCTTTAAAAAGAGTCCATTTGTATACTAAAGTGTAAGAAATAGCTTAACTGAAAGTAATAGTCCGCTAACAGTGCCCTCTAGACTCTAGCTGCTGTGGGTGGAAGGTGGAGCTTGTGGCAGAGGTAGTGGGGGATAAAGGATGCTTTTTATCACCCAGACATTTATCTGCCCCACCTATGTGCGTATCTGGTGCACACACACGCACGCACGCACGCGCACGTATTAACTATGTCTTAATCTTTATACCTTTACTGTCCAGTGAATTAATAGCTAACCTCATTGTTGTAGGCTGGAAAGTCCAACTTTGAATTGCTCTGTTCTTCATCTGGGCCTAATCAGTAATTCTCTTCTAAAGGACTGGGCTTTTTTTCTTAAATAAACTTTTAATTTGGGATAGTTTTAGATTTACAGAAAAATTGGGAAATTAGTACAGGGAGTCCCCATATATCCCAAACCCAGTTTCGCCCATCAGTAACGTCTTACAGTAATGTGGTACATTTGTCACAATTAATGAACCAATACTGATATATTGTTGTTATCTAAAGCCCATACTTTATTCATATTTCCTTAGCTTTTACCTAATGTCTCTCTTCTAGGATCCCATCCAGGATACCACATTGCGTTGAGTCCTCATGTCTCCTTAGGTTCTTCTTGGCTGTGACAGTTTGTCAAATTTTCCTTGGTTTTGATGACTTCGGCAGTTTTGAGGTGTACTGGTCAGGTATTTTGTAAAGTGCTTCTCAATTTGAATTTGTCTGATGTTTTTCTTATGATTAGACAGGGGCTATGGGTTTTGGGGGAGGAAGACCACACAAGTAAAGTGCCATTTTCATCACATCATATCAAAGTCACATGCTATCAACATGACGCATCACTGTTGATGTTGACCTTGATCGTCTGGCCAAAATAGTGTTTGTCACTGGGACATTACTCCTTGCCCCTCTTTCCATACTGTACCTTTTGGAAGGCAGTTACTCTGTGTACCCCACAATGACTCAGTGGGGACTTATGCTCCCTCCTTCCTTGAGGACAGAGTATCTACATAAATTATTTGAAATTCTTTTGCATGGGAGATTTACCTATTCTTTCTCATTTATTTATTCAATCATTTGTTTATATCAGTATGGACTCATGGATATGTATAGTATACTTTGGGTTATAATCCAATCCTACTTTATTTATTTATGTATTTATTTTTATTTTTT